TTCCTTTCCCATCTTCCTAAGACAGTGAGGAAAAGACAAAAAAAATGTAAGATCGTCATCCCGATCTTAGCATCTTGTGTACTGTCACCCTGACTGGGCTTTCCATTTCTTCACGCGTGCTCCCCAGAGGGGAGGAAGCCCATTTGTTCCCTTTCCTTCGAAGCCAGTAGCACAGCCGGTTCTCAGGCCCAGATTGAAAACCACCTTGTCCCCAAGCCAGAGGAATTCATGCGGTCGGCAGGAGGGCGGGTTGGTTCGGTTGTGAGGGGTAAGGGCACAGGGTGTGCGTGGTACCTCGTGGTGCAGGGGGTAGGGGAGGGGGTTGGAGGGCGGCAGTTTGCACAAGTGACATGGAGAGACACCAATACTGCAGGTGCCGACTGGTCCCCTAACTCAAGAGGCGTGTTTTCTGGATGAGGCTGATGAGACCCTTAGACCAGTTTCTCGCCTCAGCACTACCGACTCTCAGGCGGGGCTGATCGTTGGCCACAGGGCTGTCCGTGTTTTTATGGAAGGGCGTTCCCCAGCATCCCTCACCTGCTCACCAGAGGCCAGCAGCCCTTCCCCGCAGGTTGTGACAATCAAAGATACCTCCCCTCAACCCCAGGAGAGGGAACAAAATCACCCTTTACTGAGAACCACTGCTTCAGACCCAGCTCCTCTGCCTTTTAAAACAGGGGTGGGGAACCTTTTTTCTGTCAAGGGCCATTTGGATATTTATAACAGCATTCACAGGCCATATAAAATTATCGACTTAAAAATTAGCCTGGCCCAGCCAGTGTGGCTCAGTGGTTGGGCATCAACCTATGAAACAAGAGGTCGTGGTTTGATTCCTGGTCAGGGCACATGCGGGGGTTGCAGGCTCCATCCCCAGCGTGGGACATGCAGGAGGCAGCCGATCAATGATTCTCTCTCATCATGGATGTTTCTATTTCTCTCTCACTCTCCCTTCCTCTCTGAAATCAATTTTTTAAAATATCTTTTCATTAGCCTGCTATATTTGCTCAAACATTTAATTAACTCACCCCTAAATGCCTTGGCAGGGCCAGACCAAATGATTTCCTGGGCCTTATTGGGCCTGCGGGCCAGAAGTTCCCCACCCCTGTTAAGGCCTGGGTGCATTTCTAAACCATCAGTCATGTTGTGTGCAAATGAGCAGGGTGGCTGCACAAAGTGCTGGAGACTGGAGTCACCCTGGGGCAACCCCCTTACCTCCTGGGACTTAGTTCATCAACTGTGAAATACAGCGGTCATAGCTTTTATCTTGCTAGACTGCTGTGTGTTTAGTCCACAAACATGCACTCCGCACCTGCTGTGTGTGGTGAGGATACATATGGAACAACCAAGTCAGACATGAAATTCCTATGAGAGTGTGAAACACTAATCAGACATGCTGCTGTGGTACAAAGAATACCGGACCTTAGGAAGGTGGGGCTTTAAGGAAGACCAAATTCAGGCCCACAACCTTATTCGCATTTCTGAAACCCTAAAAACTTTTTTTTTTTATTCCTTCTTGTTTAATGCATTTGCTATCCAAATCTCTTTGGTGGCAAAACCTGACCTGATGTGAATGAGGCTACTTAAAGTCCTCATTGGCCCTCCTGAGCGAGAACATTCATATTTTTCTGCATAATGTTTGGTCATGGGGTGCTTCCCCAGACTGTGCTGAGGGCATTCAATTATATATATACCGTGTGCACTCTTTTACTTTTCTAAAAGGTAAACAAGCTGAAGGCCAAAACACACATGGCCCCAAGGGTTTTGAATAAGGGACTGTGGGCCCTTATATGCAAATTGGCAGGGAAACTAGAAACACAGGAACCAACATTTTCACATAGAAGTAGCTGTTAGTTCTCATGTGCATCTGGTACCATGCTAGGCAAACTGTGAGCTTATCACATGAGATCAATGGAGAAAGATGGGTGTGTGAGTTTGCATGTAGCATGGAGGCGTATGAATTTTGTCCTGTGATCAGCAGGGGTAGCCCTTCTCCAAAACCAAAGACCCTCCAGCTCCATCTAGTGGGGACCAAGTTCAGCTCACCAAGTTCACATGCTGTTCTCACACTTCCTTTCTGCCTGTTCGCCCCAGCAACCTTAGACAGAGATGAACATCTCCCCGGCCCTGGGTCTGGGCTCCTCTCTTTGTGAGTGTGAGAGATGGGCGGTTATTTTATCCTACTCTCAATGTGCAGAACATTTTATAGGAGACATGCATTAATCTCTCAGAAAATAAGAAGAGAGATTTCTGGTAAATTCAGGTTTCACAACCACTCAAGCAGATTTTATTTAAAAGGGTTTTAGCCCTAGCCAGATTGGCTCAGTGGATAGAGTGTTGGCCTGCGAACTGAAGGGTCCCAGGTTCAATTCCAGTCAAGGGCACATACCTGGGTTGTGGGCTCAATCCCCAGTGTGGGGCATTCAGGAGGCAGCCGATCAATGATTCTCTCTTATCATTCATTGATATTTCTATCTCTCTCTCCCTTCCTCTCTGAAATCAATAAAATATATTTTTTTAAAAAAAATAAATAAATAAAAGGATTTTAGTTCAAACCAGAGCTTCAATCTCTCACCTTCAAAGGACTTGTTGCCTCCCTGGCTTGGTTCTTTACTCCCGTTTAATCTATTTGAAAATAGTTTGGGGTATGAACACACAATACAATATACAGATGATGAATTATAGAATTGTACATTTGAAACCTATATAATTTTATTTACCAATGTCACCCCAATCCTATATAATAAAAGGCTAATATGCAAATTGATCCTAACAACAGAACAACCGCTTAACCAGTCACTATGAGGCGCACTGACCACCTCTTGGTCCCTTTCCCCCAGCCAGCAGGCTCCCATCGCCTGATGGGGAACAGGGAACCAGGGGTGGGTGGCAGCAGGGGGTGGGGCTGGCAGCCAGGGAAGATGGCCCTGATCGCAGGCCAGGCCTAGGGACTGTACCTGTGCACGAATTTCATGCGCCAGGCCTCTAGTAAATTCAATAAAATATGTTTTAAAGAAAAGAAGCATATAACAAAAAAGAACAAAAAAAGAAAAAATAAACCTCATGGACACGGACAGCAGTGTGGTGATTGCCAGGGGAGGGGTGTGGGGTCGGATGGATAAGTGGTGATGGATGGAGACTTCACTTGGAGGGGTGAACCCACAATACAGTGTACAAATGGTGGGGAAATTGTATAAATAAATAAAAGAAACAAGGAGCCATCATAAAATGAGTATTGTTGTTTGAAACCAAAATAATAGCAACGATAATTTATTTGGAAATAGATTTTTGAACCTGTATTATGTGCCAAATGGTGATGAGAATATACACGTGAATTAGACACAGTCTTTGCTTTGGGAAAGTCATGGTCCCAGGAGAGAGGCATCCTTGGACAGCAGGCTGATCCCAGGCACTTTGGGAACAAAGGCTGTGCTCATCCTTCCTAAGTGCGTGTAGTAAAGAAGGGGTCAGCGACCTGAGGCCTGCGGGCCAGCACATTCTTATAAATGTTTCCCGGGAACACTGCCCCACACGCCGTTTGTGTAATGATGCCATCCTCCCGCCTCCCGCAGACCCTGCTGAAGGGGAACCAGGTGTGGTTTCCCCCAGCCCAGCTGCCTCGGGAGGCGTCAGAGGCGGTCGCCATCTGCTGGCCCGTTCTGTTACCTTCCCTCTGCAGACGCATCTCTCATGCAAATCACCAAACTTTGTACGTGTACTTCTAGTGATTAGTCACACTTGGTTCCTCTGCTGTCTATGAATGTCTTAAGCGTAGGGAGTATACCATAGTCAACCTTGAAAGGTAGAATACCTAATGCCTGCCATGGAGACTTCAACAGATGAGGAAAGAGAGGAAGAAAGCGGAGGAGGGACGTAAAACTCAAATGTCTACTGGCTCAACAGCCCCCACTTGTGACACTGAGCCCTCAGTTCTTTGTTTCTCTCACATGGGCCCCCATCTTTGCCTCCATCAAGACTCTGCTCTGACTGCCAATAGCCACTCTGAGCCCTGGCTGCAGCTGGCAAATGCCTGCAACTTCTCAATGAACTCCCTCTGACCACCGACACCGACTCTGATGGCCTGAGGGTCACAGCTCTCCCCATCACAAGGCCATGACCCAAAGGACACAAGCCCTTTCACTGATTTCCTACAGGTCAGCCTACTGCCCACATACATCGTGGTAGCCAAGCCTTACTGAGCACTTACTACGTGTCAGGCACTATTCTATTCTCCTCACACGCATCAGCTCGTTGGCACTTCACAATCACCCAATGTGGTGGAAACTACTGTTATCGCTACTTTACCGATGACAAAACTGAGGCCTAGAGAAGGTAAATAACTTGACCAAGGTCACAGCTGCTGAGTATGGGAACCAGGTTTTGAGCCTAGGCAACCTAATCGCTGTTAAGACAAAAGTATCCGAAACTTGAAAAGAGATCAAAGGATGGCTACCCATCTTTTCAAAGTCATACTGGAACATTAGAGACCCACTCCAGGAAGAGCCTGTTCTTTAGGGGGCTGGCCCTAATGACTGACCCCTTACAATTGTATTCTACCTCTCTGTAAGGGTAGATGTGAACCTGTAGAAAGCTGAGAGTGATTCAAATGATTCTTGACCTATAGCAATGCAAATGAGTTTCTCTTCAGCGAGAAAGATAACTCCAAAGGTTACAGTTTTATTGCCCTAGGAGATTAGCCAGTTTTGTATCTAAATTAGTAATCTCATTTCAGCACTCTCAGGGACTATGACAACTTCTGTCTCAACTGCAATCCTTGAACCAGGTTTACCATCCTGTCAGTTCCCTCAAGGATGTAATTAAATCGGTGACATATGCTCATTCTATATTTATATGGGAGTTACATTTTCAATGCTCTGAAATTTGTATTTGGCACACATGCTGAACCACTACACTAGAATGAAAGAAAGTTGAATCAGAAAATATATGTTGATTATGTTTAAGAAGGGAGTGCAACCCACGACTGAACCCACCAGTCCCTGAAAGAATAATGAGTAAACCAGTGCAAAGAATATTATATATACATATGTATTAATATATGCATTATGCCCCCACAAAAGACTGAGTATACCACAGAACAGCAGGCCTGCTCTGGGGAAATCCTGTTTGTTTCTTTGGGAATTTGGTGAAGTGAAACAGAACTTTGAGACCAAGACTGGGACTTACCAAGGAGCCAGACCCCCCAGGAGAGCCAACTGTGTCTCTCAAAGGATGTGCTAAAAGACAAAATTCAACCGAGTAAATGTTAAAGATCGTATTGGCTTCATTCAGTGATTGGGGGATTGGGTGGCATCCCATCTAGCAGATAAAAGGGAGCTCCCAGGAGCTGGATGAAATGGAAGGCTTTTATACGCAGGAGAGAGTGGAAACAAGAAAGTTACACTAAACAACAAGTGGGCTGGTTATTGCAAGGTCACTTTCCTTTAAATTGCAGGGGTGGGACCTTTTTCTGCCAAGGGCCATTTGGATATTTATAACATCTTTCAGGGGCCATACAAAATTATCAGCTTAAAGATTAGCCTGCTAGCCCTAGCCGGTTTGGCTCAGTGGATAGAATGTCAGCCTTCGGACTGAAGAGTCCCAGGTTCAATTCTGGTCAAGGGCACAGGCCCAGGTTGCGGGCTCGATCCCCAATAGGGGGCGTGCAGGAGGCAGCCTATCAATGATTCTCTCTTATCCTTGATGTTTCTATCTATCGCTCCCTCTCCCTTCCTCTCTGAAATCAATAAAAAAATATATTTTTTTTTTAAAAATACATTAGCTTGCTATATTTGGTCAAACATTTCATTAACTCACCCCTAATGCCTTGGCAGGGCCAGACCTAATGATTCCAAGGGCCAGGCGTTCCCCACCCTTGCTTTAGAGGGTGGCAGAGGCCTCTCAGGCAGATTACCTAACTAGCTAGTGCTGATCAGGTGATTCCTGGTTGACTGGTTAACATTCGCTCTGGAGAGCTGAAGCTGTAATTAAGTTGTCTCCCGTTTGGTCACATGGTGCTTAGCATTATCGACTTTCTATTTGGCCTGTTGTCTTGTTTCTAATAGGTGTGACCTCCCGAGGATTCTCAAAAGGAAAAACAATTAACACCTTTACCCAGGGCCTGGTTCAGTGCAAACCAAGTACCCCAATTCAAGACTGCTAATAGAACTTCACAAGTGACTACAAGTATGGCTTTGTTGCTTGGAACATATAAGATGCTTAATAAATATTGAATGAGTTGAAAAACTGTCCCCCAACGCAGAGAAATCACTTCTGCAAAAAACAAACAAACAAACAGATAAGGTGAACCAATTCGATCAGAGTTATTAAAGTTGTTTTCTTTAGTGGAGGAAAGATCATGACACACATACTTAATTCCAAGTCACTGCTAATAACTAGCTAATGGTGCTAATGGAGTTCTTAATTATATGGGAAAGACTACGAATGACCTATTTTCCAAGTGTTTGAAAATGGAAACATACGTTAAAAAACCATTGCATTCTTCTGCATCTCTTTTCTGGGGTGGTGATGGGTGTCTGTGGTTTCTGTTTGTGGAAGGATACTACCAGCACACCACTGGGTAAGGGATACTCCAGGCAGTATGAAGTGGTGATCATATAAAATATTGGTAGAAAATGATATTGAATGTCAACTGCAGTTGAAAAATAAATAAAGTGTTGGTAGGTTTCCTGAAAGGAGCCATCAGTTAGGCAACACACTGATCATGCAAGGCCCTTGTCCAAGCCATAGGAATTCGGCAATAAACAGGACACTCCAGCTGGCTTGCCATCTTGGAGTTTAGATGCTGGTGGGGAGAAACAGACATAAAAAAAAATAAAAATGAAATGCACATAGTAAGATAGATTATGGCATGCGCTACATAGAAAAGTAATACAGGGACAGGAAAGAGGGAATTCAAGTGGGGCTGGGGGAGGGGCTTGCAATTTTAAATGGGACAGCCAAGGAAGACCTCCCTCAATAAAGACTAAGTACGTGAGAGGGCAAAGGATACGGGTGTCTGGGGGAAGAGCAGTCTAGGACGAGAAAATAGACAGAGGCAATGGCGTGAGGCAGGAGCACGCCTGGTGTGTTCAAGGGACAGTAAGAAAGTCCGTGGGGAAAACTGAGGGGAAAGTAGTGGAGATGGGGATCCAGTAGGGTTTGCGGTAGAGAACTGATAGGATCCCCTGATGTCTTACCAGGATCACCCTGGCTGCTGGGTTCAGAATAGATTGGAGAGGGCTCAAGGCAGAACAGGGGGACGAGTTCAGAGTCTGTTGCCCTCCTGGATGGAAGCCACCCTTCCCAACAGCCCCCTCCACGGGTCAGGCCACGTGAAATGTGTCCGGCCTGCTCCTGCAATGTCATCTTGCAGTAATCAGATTTAATCCCTGCTCTGTAAGGAAGCCACAAAAGAGAAAGGAGAAAATGGGGCTGGACATGAAGGTTATAGCTTCCCAGGAAATAAGAAAAAATAAATAAATAAAATGGCAATTTGCGTTTTTGACAGTCAAGGAAATTGAGTGGACTTCAGTTGCCTTAGGAAGGGAAAAAAAAAAAAAGCTAATGTGGAGGAGTTAAAAATAACGATGCAACACAGAGTGCGCAGGAATAATTAGCTGTGAAGAGGGGTTGCCCCAGTGGTTACATTGCCTCAGATGACTTGCCCAAGCAGGGGCAGGTGAATAATAGGAAACCACTGGGTGGCCAGGCACAATGGTATAGTTTTTAAAACCTCTAAGTTAATGTTGAAATAAATGTCAGAACCCAAACACATCGAGATCCATTGGATGATCATTAAGGAAAACGGCATGCACTGCTGCTCTAGAAATAGCGCTCTTGAGATGTGCTATCATGCTGTCCTTCGCTATAAATCAAGACCATGAGCTGTGGGTATCCTTGGGCACCTGCCAAATACATGAGGGTGGAGGTTCATGTCCTTTTAAATTGTACAGCACCATCCAGCTTAGAGGAAGAAGGTCGTAGAGTTTTCTGTAAACTGCACCTACGGAACCCGAGGCCCCTGCTTGGGAGGCCATTGCTTTGCTGCCTTCCCTCCGCCTGCTGACTCCCCTCCCC